AATGTCACTTTTGAAAGTTGAAAGGCAAAGATCAACTATCCCAAGGAATTTGAACGCGATGTATTGAATACACCAAAATTTCATCAATTAGTGAGTTTCACAAGCTCTCTGTTTCGAATTACGGTTCCATTTAAATATTTAGTCTCAATTATAGCATTTAAACACTTGCTTCCCAGTTCGTGCTTGTGGATTACGCAAAAACTGACATTGTGCGGTTACCAACAAGATCACGCTCTCTCTCTCCCAAAAAGCTACTTTACAATATCAAGTTTCCCGGCAAATTTGCTGTGTTTCCACACACCATAGCAGCCCTGTAAATTCTTCAGATTGTTTTACTCGAGTAAAGTGTACCATTGCGGCATTATTTGAAGGTTGCAGCCAAATCATTACACTTTACAAAACAGAACCACTCATTGTGGTCTTGTAAATTCTGGATGTCCCTTCATGACTAGTGCCAGGTCACACGCCGAGCTTTTGGCGTCATACGCGTTGTGTCTGAGATGAGTGAGGACCGGGGTCAAGTCCTGTTGACACCACCTAGAGAATTGTACCGCCCGCTTAGTATTTTTTCAGTACAGTTTATACAATTAAACGTGAACGAGGGTGGGCTAGTGCTAACCAGGGGATGAGAGTTGCCAGGGAGTTTCTGTTCAGCTTTCATCATTTCATCAGCATGAGGTCGAACGAGCTGAGAGGATTTAGCATCCTATCACATGTGGACACTGAACNGTCATATGTAAACTGGGTACTTTCTGTCAACCACATACATGTCCTTTTCCACTACCAGCTGCAGACAACCTATTTCTCTCACTATTTAGTAAATATACTGTCTGAATAATTCATTAACTCACCAACATCTGAACCTCCTCTTCTTTCTGTCATCCACTGACCAGATGTCCAGAATTTCTCAGGATCTCTGCTTGTCAAATGATTGTACGCATCCTGTAGAACACTTAGATTCTCTGTTAAATCTGAGACCTACAAATTAAATGTAAAAAACACTATTATAAAAATCAACATGGTAAAGCAGGGAACTTTACAATAGCAAGTGTACTGACATATGAAAACTACTGTAGGTGTTAGTTTGGAATAAAAAAGTATCACTTTCTGAACAAGAGCAAATGTACAAAAGAAGCCATGAAATAGCGCCTAAGAGCCACAGTCTAGAGTATCAAAATTTAGAAAGGACAACATTGGACAGAGTTAAATGCAGACACTACCTCAATAGTCTTGGCTGCTCCATCAGTCATTGCCAATGGACAAGAGTACAAACCAGAGGAAGGAGAAAACATGAATAGCTTCACAGCTTGATATATGCGACTAAAAATACCAAAAAAATGTCAACTGAAGGTAAAATGCTCTTTAAGTCCCAGGGATTGTAGAATATTTATGCTAGACTTACAACCTACATGCAGCAGTCTGGGTTCAAGCCCTGGCCAAGGTCATTGTGCTGTGTTCTTAAACAAGCCTCTCTACACACACACGAGTGAAACCAGTGAGCTGTCCATGATAATGATCTGTCAAGATGCCTAGGGGTATCCTGGAGAAGACTTGCATCCTATCTAAAGGAAGTAGCAATACCAGTGTGCAGAGCAAGTCATGGTCAATAGCCTGGAGCTAGTGGATATTGCAGCCATGGTGGTAGATTTTGTCCTTCATTTACTCAACTGGCAAGTGATTCAGTTACTCCAGAAGCTTTTTGAGGAAATTTGCATTACAGATTGAAGTACTATAAGAGTAGAAATTTTGGGGTCTATTGAGAATGACACTCAGGTTAGTATCATAGCTATAGCTTGCCTGAGAGACAAGCCCAAAAATCAGTTTTCTTTGCACACAGAATACTTCAGATTACTACATGTTACTTGCTACTCTGTTGATCACCAATCACCAAATCAATTAGATTGGAACAGAAGTGCTGTTCCAACAAAAACTCATTTAGAAAAATGAACAAATCAGCTTTATCGCCTGCCCACCTCCCACACACAAAAAAAGACTTTTACCTCCACTGTCCATATTTCCTTTCATAGGGAATGGATATAAGTCCTTCTTCAGCTGACACATCATGTAACTGTTTCCATCCCTTACAAGTCTGAATATTGTCCACTCTTCTGCCCCATGCATCAAAATGCTCTAGTTTTGGTGGCTGCAGCTCACATTCTCGTNGACTTTTACCTCCACTGTCCATATTTCCTCTCATAGGGAATGGATATCAGCCCTTCTTCAGCTGAGACATCATGTAACTGTTTCCATCCATTACAGGTCTGAATATTGTCCACTCTTCTGCCCCATGCATCAAAATGCTCTAGTTTTGGTGGCTGCAGCTCACATTCTCGTCCCATGGAGTATATATCAGTCGCCACTCTGTGTCCAAAATGTTCTAAGTCTGACCTGATTTCTTGCAAAATCTGAGGTTGGAAACAAAAAATAGCAGACCTAAATTAAGCATTTTCTAACATAAAACCAAACCAAAGAAAGCAGCTTTCATAGGAACTCCCTTAGGAAAATTGTACCAAGAGCACACTCTGAGATCACACACACCACATGTGGTATGATACAGTGAATTCAGTGATCATTTTCCAAGCTAGTTTTTGAGAGATCTTATACATGGTGCACACAATCAATTTAAGTACAACTTTATCTGAAAATAAAGTCTCACATCTATAGCAAAACAAAACAAAACATATCCAAGTATCAGCCAGGAATCTGACAGTTGAATTTGTTACCAGTCAACTTCCCATTATTGTTCATTATCCAGGGGTGGAACAGAGATGCCCATAAGGGCATAAAGGAGGAGGGAGGGGCAAAGTGAAAATTAGTCCTCTCTTACTCAAGAAGGGGGCTTGGCACAACAGCATATGACACCAACATAGGCAGTCAGAAAAATATTTCAGCCATTTGGATATTATAGTTATTGCAGTAAAAAAGGAAAAATCATATGCTCCTGTCATAAATCCAATTCACCTGAATCAGCTTCAAATGTAAACAAGAAATAAATATATCTTATTAGATGTTTTGGTGTGTAGTATCACTGCGTATTTTTACCAGTTGTGACCCATTTTGACGAGCTGGTAGGGCAAGTTAAAATACAAACAACAAGTAAGAATATGAAGCAATACTACACACCAAAACATATAATAAGAGATTTATTATCCAACTGCTGTAGTCAATGAATTTATCAGTGAAAGAGGGAGAGTGTGACAGCTTTGCGTGCGCGNATATGAAGCAATACTACACACCAAAACATATAATAAGAGATTTATTATCCAACTGCTGTAGTCAATGAATTTATCAGTGAAAGAGGGAGAGTGTGACAGCTTTGCGTGCGCGTGCCGACCTGTCCGACAAACATGTTTTCTACTGTTCAAATAACTGTGCAATATCGCTGTACATTTGTACTGTTATTTGGACGGTATTCCCTGCAGTTGGATAATAATAATCAATAATCAAGCAAGAATAGTCAAGAAATAATTGATAAGAATTTGCATGAACCAATACCTGGCTGCAAAAATTGACAGGACAAAATGTGGACCCCCAATCTGGACTCCAGACTAGACCCTAGACTGGACCCCAAAATGGACCCCAGACTGGACCCCAAACTGGACCCCCTTCAGAAAAGGATCCCAAGCTTTCAAAATGGGAAACCCATGTCTTGTGCTGTTCCCCAGAAAATCACACTTCCACATCTCTTTTCAGTCCAGCACTGACTGTCACACTTCATCTGAGCTGTTATCATTTCCATGTGACAGGAATTCAAATAAAAAATAAGCTTAAATAAGCTTAAATTAAAAATAATAACAACAAATAACACTTTTGTATTGAATGAGCTGATCATATTGAACAGCAGCCCTACCTCCTGTGGAAGGATTCTTTTCAAGTACGACTGCAAAAATAAATCGCCACTGAATTGATTCCGGAACCTTGGTGCATCTTGAAAGAAAGACCCTCTCTTGGAAGCAGCAAATGAAGTGCCTCTAAAACTGTCTGGAACATCACAATTGTTCAGTTCAAACTCTATTTGTATGCTCTCTGAAGCTGAAGTGCTTTTGAATTTGCACGCACCAAAACTTTGAAGAAAGAACCTTCTGGGTATTACTCTTACCCTTAACATCTATGACTCAGACAGTGGGAAAAAAAATCGCTCCACAAGACTTTCTATCACATCTCAGCTGTAAAGGTCTGCAGATTCTGCAGCCGTGTTGTTTATGGCTCAGCAACCGCGCTTTCAACAAAGAAAAGCGCCACGCGAGAAACACGCGTGTTTTCC